TTGAATAATAATAATAATAATAATAATAATAATAATAATAATAATAATAATAATAATAATAATAATAATAATAATAATAATAATAATAATAATAATAATCTGGCGTTTGAATGCCAAAAATTTGCTCGCAGAAAAAAACAAAAGGTTTGTGAAGCTCCAGAAGCTTTTTTTAAGTAACTAGAACTCTTTTACGAAGATTACATTTACATTTCGAAATTTCCTTCTTGTGGCTTGACCAGCAGAATATTCAGTATTTTCAATTCCAGAAATATCAAATGATAACAACAATAACCGAAAACTCATCGCAGTCGCGAATTCTATTAGCTAATTCAACCATCAAATAGAATAACAAAATGAAACTAATACCGGTTTATAAACTTCGGTACTAAAAGCTTGCCAAGTCTTCAGTCCATTCGCTGCTCGCATCTACTGGTACAGAGTGTTTGATTAATGAAGGGTAAAACAGAATAAAATGATAATGCAAATACAAAATAAAATGAAAGTGAGACGTGAGAATCGGATCGTGAAACATGCCTGATTGAGAAGGAATGGTTTCGATGAGGAAACCAACGGAGATAGTGAAATCACTCGCCACCACATCGCTAACTCCTTACACACAGTTCAACGCCGAGAATGATTAGATCGAGAAATTCAAATTTGTTCGATTTCAAGTAGTTTTAACGAGCTGTAATTGGGACGAGCTCGGCTCGTCCAAATATGGGCGAGCTCGGGGCTCACGTGGGTAGCTCGTGGGCCGAGCCGAGCTCGGCTCGTGAGCATACCTTCTTTTTTTTTTTTTTTTTTTTTTTTTTTTGAAACAAATAGGTAAATTGGAAAATAAAAAATTATTTTTAATTTTTAAATCGTGAATTATATATAAAAAAACTAGGTAAAAAATTTAAACCTTCTTCTTTTATTCGGGCTTGAGACCGATTACTTAAATTTAGAGTAGACGGAGTTAAAAATTGTATTGTTTGTTTGTTTGTTCGTGTACAATTTTTTAAAGAAAATTTAAAACAGTATCAAAAATTATTTTTTCAAGCAACGCTGCACGTCGCCTTACATATAATTTTCGAAGAAAATCCCTTCTAAAAATTGAAAGGGTAATCGAATGCCCTTTCAATTGTCAGAAGTCTTCACTTCGAAAGTTATAAAGAAATCTTTCACTACGAAAATTATATATAATCTTCAAAGTGAAATACTTCTGACAATTGAAAGGGCAATCATTCGATTACCCTTTCAATTTTTAGAAAGAATTTATTTCAAAAATTATATGTAAAGGTACGCACAGCGTAATTCGAGAAAATAATTTAAAATATAGATATAATAGTAGTAATAATAACAAGTACTACCAAAAATTTAACTAAATTGGTGGAAATGAATTTTTTTTATTTTTTTTAACTAAAAGAGAAAAAAAAATGAAATCTTTATTTTTTTTATTTTTCTTTTTAAATTAGATAAAATATAAACCATCCTCCTTTATCTGAGTTTGAGATCGGCTACTTAAGTTTTCAGTAGGCGAAATTAAATTTTGTACACGAACAATTTTTTGTAGCGTGTACAATTTTTTAGAGAAAATTAAAAGTAACAATAAGAAAAGAAAAGTTTTATCAATATAATTAAATCAAATATCACTTACTTGACGACATGCAATTTCGGCATATTTATCTTGTAGTTGAAAATGAGCGTCCTATCAATCCTTAACGCACATTAACGCTTCTAAAATATTTTCTTTCAGTCGGCTCCTAATCTCGCTCAAAACTCTTTTACTTGCACTAAAAGCAGACTCCGAAACAACAGTGTTAATCGGAGGTGTCAGCAGATCTTTTGCAATCGCAAATATAACTAGCCAACGTCGTTCATACTTTCGCCAGAATTCAATTACTTCGTCTGAACTTTTTTTAATTGTTTTATCTATTGGCATATTCTGGTTAAAATAATCAATTAATTCAGCAGGCAATGCATTATGACTTGAGCCCGTAGATGTATGATGAGAATGAGATACAGATGGTGACGACATGGCAGTGGCAGTGACAGTGATAGTAGATGAACACATTGCAGATGAATCAAATATATATGAATTAATGCCTTGAAATAAATTAAATATTTCCGCTTCTTCTTCTTCAATTTCAGTTGAAGGAGTAAGTGCAGATAGTACCCGACTAATATTGGTACCCATTCGATTCGCATATAATTTATACATTTCACATAATGTTTGCTCTAAATTTCTATATATGATAGGTCTATCAAATGTTAAGGTGTTTGAAATTTGATCAATTATATATTTAGTTCCCGATAAATTATTTCAAGGATCCATCACGCATGCTAAAGGAAATAACATAGGCAAATCTTCCCAATATTTTCTAAATTTTAATTCCATAGCAATTATAATTTCACTAAAATCAGGGTCATTTCTGTATTTATGAAATGTTCTTGCAATTATATAAAGACGTTCAAGTACCATACAACTGGTGGGATAGTAAACGCCCGATAAAATTTTAGTAATTTCATAAAAAGATGTCAAAAAATTTTTAACTTTCAAAGCTAAATGTCAATCACGTTCAGTCAACATACCCTCGTCATCACTTCTAACATGTCTATTGTTATAAAAGTTAGTTATTAGATGTTCAAAATCTTCAAATGACTTTAATAACAAGTAAGTAGAGTTCCACCTATGACCTACGTCGTTAACAAATGTTTTAGCATTTTGCACTCCTATTTCGGCACAATAATCCTCAAATGCTTGTTTTCTATTTGGGGAGATTGTGATATATATTAGTGCGTTCCTAATATTTAGAAGTTCATCCTTTATATGTTTTAAATCATTTTGGACAATTAAATTCAAAATATGACATACACAACGAATATAAAACAAATGCCCACCAAAATCAAGTTGTAGTGCCCTATGCAATTTTTGGGCAACTACTTTATTAACACTAGCATTTTTGAAAGTAAATGAACGAATTCTACCTTCGTAATAATATTCTCTAATAATACTAATAATCGCATTAAATATATTATTAGCGTTGTAAGGAAACTTAATAATTCTAAAAGCAATAATTTTTTTATGCATGCACCAAAGTGGGTCTATATAATGTGCAGTTGTAGCTATATATGCTCTTTTATTAATCCCTTCCCATATATCCGAAATTAAAGATATAACACCCCTCATATTTTTGCAAATCCATAATTAATTGTTGTTTTGTTGAAGTAAAATATTGTATTGTATCGGAACGAAGAGTGTTTCGACTTACCACAACGTACCTTGACTGTAGATATTTTTTCACATACGAGACGTAGTGTTGGTTGTCAATTAATATTAAAGGCAACTCAGCACCAACAACAAGCTTCACCATTCCGATTCGAGCTTTCTCCTCCGAATACACCCATGTAGATAGGGGTGCAGCAGAACCACTAGCATCTGGACTGCCAAATTGTAATTATATTTGACAGCTTGGAATACGTGCGTGTTTGGCCGCACATACTTTGTAATGACGGTTGAGATGGGTGGTACCATTCCTCTTTGCCATGCCAATTTTTGTTGGCAGTATTTACACACTGCTTTGGATTCTTGGACTCCATTGACGATTTTTCCTGTTGAAATCAACTTAAAGTGATCCCAACATTTTGTTTGTTTTTCCCCTCGCATCAGAAATGTTTAATTCAACCTCTTCTTCCTGATCGTGCTCAGCGTCAGGAACGTTAACATCATCCAAATTAATTGGATGATTTGGATTGTCGATTACACGATGATGAAAATTCAAATCTGGAATATCTTCAGGTAGGCGTACGTCATTTAGACCTTCAAATTGATTCTAAAATTGACTTTGCGGTGTCATAGGCGATTCGTTTCCTCCCACACAGAACAAGTTTTCGACAAATGTGCGTGGATCCATATGTTTAGTTGTAATAAGTAATAACTAATAGAAGAATAAATGTATAAATGTAGTGAGAAATGAGAATTGAATATTGTATAAATTGTATAAAAAAATTGCACAATTATCAACACAATACAAGAGAGTTGAGAGAAAGATAATTGAGAGTTGAGAGTGAATTGTAGAAAATTTTGTGGCTAAATGCCACCATTTATAGAAAAAGAAAAGAAAAATATATATATATATATATATAAGAAACAAAACGGTCACTGAAAAAATTCAGTGACCGGTAACGGTCAAAACAAAAATAAAATTAAAATTAAAATTAATTCGGGGACTGAAACGGTCACTGACAAAAAGTCAGTGACCGTTGATAAAGTTACCGAAACGGCCACTTTTAAAAACGAGCCCGGCTCGTGGCTCGTTCACGAGCCGCTCGCGGGCTTACTGCGAGCCCACCGAACCAGCCCGCTCAGCTCGCATTTGCCACCCCTAGTAATTGGGCGAGACTTTCCGTCGAGCACGTAGAATGCCATGCGTATGCTGTCAGTTTGATGGGAAGCAAAAATAATTATTGCTTTTTGCCTGTCTCAATGTGAAACGATTGGCAAACCTTAAAAGCTTTTACTAGTTACAAAAAGAAAAGAAAATTCCAAAGGAAACGTTTGGGCTTCATTCTTAAAATAAATGTATTCTTTTTTAAAATTTATTTTTAACCAAGTTCTTGCATAAAATAATATTACACTTAATAAACTTAAATTTGTTTTTATTTTTAATCACACATTCGTTAAAAATAATTATTTCAAAATAAATCTCATTTTAATGAAGTTCAAACTAGGGCGAAGTTAATTCTTTCAACAATAAAATAAACATTAGCAAGAAAAAGGTAGGTTGTAAACATATATTTCATATAAATTTACTTAAAAGAAAATGTAGTCGCATTATCTAAATAGTCACGTCAAAATTACCATTCACTACATAAAACTAACTTATTTTTTATACATCACCATGGCCTTTTCAAAAGGGAAAAATTCATATATAAGGTGTATACTTGACACCATTTCGCAATTAAGGTATAGAAAGTATATATTCAAATATCAGGTATATATGTGTGTGTGTGTGTGTGTGTATATATATATATATATATTTCTGTTACGTATCTTTCCTATAATCCCGCCTTGTTTCCATCAATAAAACGTCTCTATCGCTACAAAATCATCATAAAAAATAAAACATCCAGAGTAATTTCAATCCGGACACTGTAGAACCCTAATTCATCGACATTGATATTTTCGTGTCACAGATTTGGGATCGTCTTGGAGAAATTGACGTTTTCGCATAACAGAAATCAATCCAGGTATTGGTCCGATTATTGCACTCCTTCCTTTTTCGCAATTAGCATCATTAGATTAGTTCCGAATTTCTTCTAGACTCAAATTTCCAGCGTCCGTATCTATCGTAGCCACATATGTCTCAAATTCAATAATATTGTGCAGTGGAAAATGAACAACATGCATGAGATGTGACTTAATTGAGTGTAACTAGTCGTAGACAATATTGAATGTGATCGATTGAATGTGACTGCTGTGAAAAAAATGTGACCTCAATTTGTTTTTGATTATTTGTAAGACATGTTACAAATGTGACCTGTGTCTCGCCAAAATGTGACCTGCATTTTTCCGTGTCAATGGTGACTTCATGTTATTGCATAAATTCTTATATAAAACTGTATGCACAGTATTAAATTAACCATCGAGAATGTGATGCTTTGAAGTTCAATTTTGCAGAAATGGTGTACTTGCATGTATGTTTGTTGCATGGATCTCAGTCAGCTTTGGCGTTGATAGACCGTGGATGCAGTTATATAAACCTTGTAAACATGATTACGTCAGAGTTCAGTTTGGATCCGACAAAGGTAGCAGTATCATTGAAGTATATACTCAACGACGATTTGCCTGCAATCAGGATAAAAAATGACAGCAACGTGCTTGCATACATTCTGTTGAAAGAAGTCGATCGTGATCCAGCTAAATACCCATTAATCATTGACATAATTGATGCAGCAATACAGTACCCGTCTGACATGGTCACAGATAATGCTTATCGTAACAGTGAGCTTTATACTTTGCAGGATGTGGCCACAGAAATTTGCGAAGTATCAAGTAAACATTTAGGTCACATTTGTGATAATGAAGTCACGATTGTTTCTATAGCAGATGCTATTCAGGTCGAAGAAGGCAGGATTTTCCGTGATAAGGATATTTTAAAATTGAGCCTATCGTTTTTTGCCATACGAAACATGTTTGAGTTTATGGTTGAACGATCCGACAAGAAAGAATATGTGGTGAGGTGTTCTCATGAAGGATGTACTTGGATATGCCGATCGTCAAAATGGGGTAAAACGAATCTATTCAAGATTCGAAAGATTGGTAGTCACACATGTGCATCAAATGTGGTGTTGGGGTCACACAGACAAGTATCAGCTGCAGTTGTGTCATCTAGCATCAAGTACAAGTACACATCAGCTGGCACCATATACACACCAAAGGACATATGCAGTGATATGCTACATACGTTTGGAGTATATTTGAATTACTCGAAAGCTTGGAGGTCCCATGAACAAACATTGAAGATGATTAGGGGTGATCCGACGGAATCATTCGGTAGGATACCAAGCTTCTTCTACATGATTCGACAAAGAAATCCTGGTACGGTCACAGAGTTGGAGGTCGATAGTCACAATAGGTTCAAGTACTGTTTTATGGCACTCGGTGCATCAATACAGGGGTGGCAACATTGTAGGCCCGTAATTGTCGTTGACGGTACTTATTTGAATGGTCATTACGGAGGTACCCTATTCACAGCATGTACACAGGATGCAAATAATGGCATATTTGTTCTTGCCTTTGGAGTAGGGGATAATGAGAACGACAAATCGTGGAGATGGTTTTTGGAGAAACTGAAGAATGCATATGGGCACAGAGAAGGATTGTGTTTTGTATCGGACCGTCATGGCAGTATAAAGAAAGCAATAAAACAGGTGTACCCGAAAATTTGCCATGGTATCTGCTCGTACCATTTGCTGCAAAATCTCAAATCATATTATGGGAAATCAGGGCAAAATATTACGCAGGCTTTCAATTCGGCTGTCCGGGCTTACACATTAGAAGAATTTGAATACAACATGCAACAACTAGACGCAATGAATGATAAGATTCGTGATTACCTGGTACTGTACTGACTACAGCACTGCATTATCACATGCAGTGAAGTGGTCACATATATCCTTTTATACTATTCTCATACTACGATATATTTTGGCAGGATGAAGTAGGCCCTGAAAAGTGGTCACGAATACATATGCCGGCAAACAGATACTTTACAATGACATCAAACATTGTAGAATCAGTAAATGCGGTCACAAAGGCAGCTAAGAATTACCCATTGTATTCTTGCTGGAGTCATTGCGACAAACAGTACAAAATTGGTTCTGTAAACATAGAGATGAAGCGCATGGAACTTTCACGATGCTGACTAGCAAGTTCGAGAACGTCATGAGGAGAATGAGTTCAGAATTAAGGAACTTGAGGGTAAAGTTCTTAGGTATCTTGAAGTTCGTGTATGTGGACTAAACAGAAATATGCATGTGATTATATCATAGGTGTCTGTCACATGGAATGTACGTATGTGCTTATGTGTCCAAATATTAATTTCATGTGACCACTAATTTACGTAGGTGATGCTATGTACTTTGTTTGTCGTGCTATATAATTTGTTACTAATGCTAAACCTGTGACCTGAGTATGAAGTCTTGTCACCTGAACATACCATTGTGCACTGAGATATGAATGTCTGTGACCTATTCTTTTTTGAGTTTAAACTAACACATAACATTGGTGCTATTACACTCTCACAGGTATCTCCTTCCAACCAAACAGTGTTCTCCGTGAGCGATGAAAGGTCCACATTTGTTGTTGATATTGAGCAACGTACATGCACTTGCAGGATGCTGCAGGTTGATTTGATGCCTTGTCCACATGCATTAGCTGTAATCGCACATACAAAAAGGGATGCATATTCTTACTGTTCCTATTATTACACAAAGGAAGCATATGTAAATGCTTACGAAAGTTCGGTATATCCCGTTGGAAATCCAGGCGAGTGGAGAGTGCCCGATGAAGTAGAATTCCAAATTGTTTTAGCTCCTAACCAAAAGCGGAGTTCTGGAAGACCTACTGAGAAGAGGAAGAGATCATCTAGGGAAGGAAAGCCAAAAGTAAGATGTGGACTTTGTGGTGCACATGGTCACAACCGTAGAAGGTGCTCAAGTTTGGTCCCATTAAGTAAGAACGGTTGATAGGAAGTCAATACATGATAAAGGCTTATCAAAGTTAGGTCGCATTCTTGAATTCTTTTTAGCATACCAACATGTAAACATGTGTTTCAATTGATCAATTGACAAATAATTTTTAAATAGTAAGGTAATAAATGATAAACGAAGTACATCAGCACATTTTATTCAGTTGAACATAGAGTTTTGTAAATTTGTGATTATAGATTCCATACACAGTAATATATTTGAATTGTGACTATTAATTCACTTAAAGG